TATATTTTTCCTCATTTCATATTTCATACTTTCACTTTCTATATTCACAGAATATAAATTTCAAAAAATTCCTATTCGGAAAAGAGCCATCCATTCAACTTGTCATCCCTTTTGTAGCAAACAAAAACAAACACACTCATCATCCTGAAGAGGAGATTCGTTTTTCGTCATCATTCACCAAAGTGACACTTGACTGATTTGCCCATAGGAATTTTGGTGATTTTGGTGTTGAGCCATAAAATCAGACCAGACGAGACATTTCCCAAAAAAAAAAAAAAAAATGAGAGGAAAACTCCGCCAAACTCAGAAAAGAAGTCACAAATGCCCAAGCGTGTTAAAAGATTTCTTTTTGTCAACATTTTGACGAATTCGTCAAGTGTTTGTAATTTGACATGTCGTCGTCTTCTCTTCCATCAGTCAGTCTTTCTGTCTCACGGGAATTTGTCATGGGCTAGATGATGGGTTTTATAGCTCTGCTGTGTGTTGTGTGTCAGACCGCCATTCATTCTGCCAGCCATCTAGCCATAAAATGCATGCTGTGTAAATTGATTCCATCATGTTCATCATTTGTCAATTGCTTATATCGACTTGCAGCAAACCAAGTCCTTTTTCCGGTGGGATTTTTATTGATTTTTTGTTTCATTTTTGTTTTTGGTATGTAAATTAATTATCCTGCCTTGCTTGTATGTCCTACTTTGCTTGCAGGCTGACTGGTTGGCTGACTGACTTACTCTTTAATGTAATTATAAAAGTGGCGCCAAGCGACCACAAAGTTATGCCCACTTGCCGGACAAGTGTTTTACTCATGTTTTACATGCTTGTTATTTTGGAGTGGCCAGATATTATTTCTGGGGAAAAAAAATTAATTGAGAACTAATTGCGGAGGTCATTTTGAAAAAAGAAGAAGCAAAAAATTAACACAGTAATAAAAATTGGATTTAAGTGGTAATTTAAAATAAGGATTTTTAGAGCCTGGGACACTAATTTCAGGTTTTAATGGATTTGTGAAAAAGTTCCTACCATGAAATTTCCAAAAATAGGATAATTTTGGGATCATTATTTTGTTATATGATTTGTTAAGAAAAATCAATATGTGGCGCCCAAGCATACAAAACAAAAAAAAAATTCAAAACACACTTCTTATTTTAATTTAATTTTTAAGTAAAAACAAATATGTTGTTAGCACTTTGATTGTCTCTTTTGTTAGTATTGGCGCCCAATCAAAGTTTCCACTTATTGAGAGCTTTAGAATTCTAATTTCTTACGGATTAATTACTTGGTCATCAAAAAAGTAGACCTCAAATTGTTTAAATATGGCGTCTGACCGAATTCGAAATATTGTAGAAGAATATGTTATTCGCTTGTCGAACAAAAATTCCTAACAAATTTGCCGATGTTTTTAAAGAATTGGCGACCAATGGAATTGTTGAAATTTTTTTAATAATAAAAAATTAAAAAAAACTATCGATAATTCGGAAGTGGCGCACAAATAATAATCTCGGCATTTTGCCCAATTTAATTCCAACAGAAGCGTACTCTTTTTTTGAAAGTGGCGCCCAAGCTAAATCCTTAACCATTACTGGCATAAACAAAATACGAATTTACTAAAAACAAATTGATCAGCATTTTGCGTACTTTATGGCGCCCAAACACTGTATTTTTTTTTTTTTAACTGGTAGTAACAAATGTGTACTCTTTTTCCAAAGTGGGGCCCAAGCTAAATCCTTTACCATTCCCGCAAAGGCTACATCAAAATTAAATCCAAAGAAAGGCGTACCCTTATTTCTAGAGTGGCGCCCAAGCTAAATTCTTCGTTGTTACTGCCATAATCAAATGTCAGATTTACTAAAAGAAATTGGTCAGCATTTTGCGTTGGTGTTGGCGCCCAAATAGGTCGTCTTTCTTGGAAAATGGTAGCAATTTAAGTCCATGAAATGCGTACTCTTTTCAATAGTGGCGCCCAAGCTAAATCATTTACCATTCCCTCTAAAGCTAAATCCTTTACTATAATTAAACAAAGTTGGTCAGCATTGGCACCCAAACGTTGTCATTTTTTTATTTATTTATTTATTTTTTTTTTAAATGGTAGCACTAGATGAGCGTTCAAAAAATGTACTATATATTACAACTGCCATCTCTCTTGAAAAATGGGAGCACAAGAATAGTGTCCAAAAAAATAATATTTTATTCTCAAAAAAATGTATGTTGATATATTTGAAATATCCTTATTTTTTCTGATTACTTCTCATAATTTTCCCTTCTCGTTGTTAAATTTTAAATATATTTAAATAATTTTATGAAATAATAAAACGTTAGATTTTCCTCATCATCATCACTTTTTAATTCTTCTACAAAAAATAGAAACAAAAACCCGTTTATTTTCTTAATTAACACCACCATTTGTGGGAATTATCGTCACATTACCGTTCCGTCTATGTGCCACTAACCCTAAGCACTTGTTGTGTTGTGTCATGGCGTGAACGTGACCCCTGGTTTCTTTTTCGCTCCTATTTTCATTTCTAATCTGTCCATCTTATCTACAGCATATTAAACTTCAATGTTTTCTGTTGAGTTGACAACAAAACGTTTTGAATTCCCTAAGAAATATAAGACGACAACAACAACAAAAAACAACAACTGTAAACTAAACTCAACTGAAAAGTGTTGTGATTTTTTTCAAAGTTCAGATTACTTCCCCATCCCTCTTTTGGAACATTTCATATCATATAAGATGCACTCTACCTTGGAGCAGAGTCGCACGTACCTACATCGTACTAGAACTTCTATGAGATTTTTTTAACTTTTTAAAAAAGCAAACAACAACAAAATTCTTATCTTTGGTATCTGATACCATTCCATTATTATGTTTTGTCTTTAGTCAACAACAAAAGCTGGAAAAAAAAGATTTTCTGGAAAGTTAGAAAAAAGCTATGTGTTAATTGGCTGTTAAGCATGTTGTTTTAAAGAATTTCCCACACTATTGCACAATGGGTCTAAGATGAGGGAATAATAAAAATAATTAAGGTTGAAAATAATTAAAAATATTTTAAAATAAATAAAAATTATTTTTAAAAAATGGCATACCTATTTTAATAAAAAAATTAAGTTGCATAAAATACTCAATACTGTCCCATTGTACATTCATTGTTTTAAAAAAAAATCTTTACAAAGTGAGATTTTTTTAAAATTAAAATTCTATAGCTATTTTCTAACATAGCAAACAATTTTACATTGAATTTTTTATATTAAAAAAAATCGCTCAATATTGCCCCACTGTTCATTCTTTTTCACAAGAATTTTTTCTACCAAAGTATGATTCTTTAAAAAAATATTTCAAATTATAAACTTTTTTCCAAAATAGCTACCAATTTTAAATTGAATTTTTAAAACATCTCTTAATAATGTCCCACAGTGCATTCTTTGTTTTCAAAAAAATATTTGCAAAGTGTGATTTGTTAAACATGTTTAAAGTTTCAAAGCTATTTTCTAACATAGCAAATAATTTTAAATTGAATTTATTTTTATTAAAAAATCTCTTAATATTGCCCCACTGTGCATTATTTTCTTCCAAAAGCATTTTGTTTAAAAAAGTATGATTTAAAAAAATATATATTTAGAATTATAAAGTCATTATCAAATAGAAAAAAAAAAATAAATTGAATATTTTTAATGTTTAAAAATCTCTCAATAATGTCCCACTGTGCATTCTTTGTTTTCAAAAAAAAAAAAAATCTTTACAAAGTGAGATTTTTTAAACATATTTAAACTTTCAAAGTAATTTTCTAACATAGCAAATAATTTTAAATTGGATTTTTTATACTAAAAAATCTCTCAATATTGTCCCACTGTGCTTTATTATTTTTCAAAAGAAATTTCTCTACAAAAATTATGATTTAAAAAAAAATTAAATTACAAAGCTATTTCCATAGTTCAATATTTTGGAATAGTTAAAAAATCTCTCAATACTGCCCCACTGTGCATCCTTTTTTCAATAGTTTTTTAAAGGAGATTTTTTAAACATATTTAAAATTTCAAAGCTATTTTCCAACCATACAAAAAAATTTAATTGACTATTTTTATATAAAAAATATCTCCATATTGTCCCACTGTGCGTTCTTTTTTCGCAAGTATTTTCCATTTAATGCGATTTTTTTAATATTTAAAATTTCGAAAATTTTTTCTAACTTACCAAGCGATTTTCAATTGATTTTAAATATAAAAAAATCTCCCAAAATTATCCCACTGTGCATTGAATACAATTCCTTTCTTTCACAAGAATTTTTCTTTGTGTAAGCTGAGATTTCTTTCAACTCCTACATGTTTGCCTCAACTTTATAATTAGTAAAGTTAAGATAAAAGGGGCAAAAAAATGACATGACAGCAACAACAAAAACAACAACATACAAATCTAAGAAGCCCAGTGACAAAATGAACTCTAGAACTTGGCATTAACACTGTTGTATTTTGCCTTTATAATAAGCTTATTAAGGCCATTAGACGTGCTTCTGCAGCAGCAGCATAATGTGGGCGAAGAAGACCCAGAACAGAACTCAAAAACAGCAACACCATCATCACTTAATCCATCTACATGATGGTCTAAAGACAATTCTGTTCTGCAGCATAGAGCTAAACATGTTCAATGTTAAACCCCCCATCCCTTCTTTGGAAAGAAGTAGCATTTTAAAAACGACAACAAAATTTAATGCGATTTTGTAATGGTCATTAAATTGTTGTTAATTCTCAGATTATCGCGCTGGTTGATAATGGTGTGGGACACCATTTTTTCGGTGGTGTTTTTTTTCACTGAAAATTATAAATTAATTTTTAGCTTCCTCATCTTTACTTTACTCTTCATAACACAAAAAAATTGTACCTAATTTAATTTGTTGTCATCTTCTTTTTTTCTTCTTGTAGCTTCATCATCATCCGCCTCATTGCCTTTATCACCAGACTCTTCAACATATCGAAGTCATGCCACAACGACTAAAACAACAACACAAACGACGGGTGCTAAACCAGCAACACAACAACAATCAGACCATACCTCTGCCAATGTTGTGGATGATTTTTCAACGCATTCTGTGATATATCCAAAAATCCATCATGCAAGGCATAAACGAGAGCTGCGTCATACCTTGGATACGGTAAGTTGAAATTATTTTTTAATTATTAATTTTAGGAAGAGGAAAATATTGTCAGCTCACTTGGAAAATATGTGACCTAAAATTATGGATCTCGTGGTATGGATTTTAGAATCTGGCCAAGGGACCAGCGTTAGTATCAAAAGACTAAACTATTACACAACTTTTTCCCAGGTGTTTTTTATGTCCTCAAAATAATAAAAATATTTAATTTAATTACCAATTAAAGACTCTGTTATGCAATTTTCATAACTGATATATTCCCAAGGATTATAGTTTTTCTCACAGTGGGAACTGTTTTTATTTTCAAGTATACCCTTCACTTCAATTTAAACATTTTTAGGAGATTCATAACCTTTTTTTATGAAATAACCTCTATTTTAATAATCCAATTATATTTATTTTTGTAACTTAGTTAATTATTTTAAAATTAATTATCCGTAATTATCACCCTATTTAAAGAAATATGTTCGATTTCATTTTTATTAATTCTTGTGAAGTACTGTGTCAAAATACCTTGAAATGTCAGTCGTATTCAAGATAAATGTCCAACAACTTTAGATTTTAACAATCCTTAAATCATTCTAAAGGATACTGCCCTTTTAGAAAATTTTAAATTTTTTGAAAGTTGAGAAATTGAGAATTTGTATGTAATTTGTTAGGATCATTCGGTCTGAACTTTTTATACCCTTCATCATAAGATGCGCTTTGAAAATAAAATATAGCTATCGAAACCTTCATATGAGGGCAATATAATCGTAAATTTTCTGCTAGATGGTTGTTTATCATCTGAGAATACTATATACCTGCACAAATTACAAATTCAGGTTAGAAAATTCTACTAGGGCATTCCGAAACTGGGCGGAACCTTTATTTGGGAGCTATGGCAAAATTTACATTTATGTGAATTTTTTCTTCACCAGAGACAGGAAATTGCAGCCACATGGGTGGAAACATGAGTCTAACGCCCTCAAAATAACGAAAAAGAGGTGGTACCCATTCAAAACGGATCCAATCAAAATATCAAAATTTCCTTTACGAAATTAAGATTCAACTTTATGATATCTACGTGAAGATCCTATGTATAAAAACTACATACAAATGTTGTCCTGAACATTTTGAAAATTTTATTCCTTCGTCCGTAGAAATTAAAATCAATTCGATAGAAAAATCGTAATCAAATACCTATTTATCGCGGTTCGAAGAGTTCCAATTGAAATAACTCCCATCCTCTTAAGTATAAAATCGACTATATAAAGGAGAAGATAAAATTCTAAAGACCCTAGTGTAATAGTCAACAATAGGGATCGATTTTTGACTAATCGACTTTATATATTGAAAAGTCTAAAAGTCGAAGTTGATTTTAGATATTTGAGGAAATCGCAAAATCGACTTTCGATTTTCTTCATAAATACATGGCTTATTATCACAAAGCCCAAATTGGTCAAAAAGTACACATTATAGAAGTTTATTTTATCTGTTGACAACAATATAAACCAGTGAGCGGAGCAGTATAGTCGGACGGAGCCGACCATATGATACCCTACACAACTACCTCGAAAATCTAACTTTATGTGGTTGTATATTCTGAGCTTGGGCAATATTTTGTGATATTTGCACTCTCTTGACAGACTAGATGTCAACAAATATTTCTAATATTCAATAGACGAGGGCTGTACTTGTCTAGATTCAATTGTGGCCTATAGATCGACTCGAAAAAAAAACACAAACAAACAAATTAAGTTTTCGGTCCACCTCATCCCAAAATTATTATTATAGTCGTTGTAATTGACTACTACTGGAACCTCATGGAACATTTCAAAGCGATTAGCTGTATATTTCCGCCCTCTAGTGTGATAATGGGTTACTAAAAAATATCTCAGTACATAATCACCCGTAAATATTTAAGTGTAACTCCTACATACGAGTACATAGGGCCATATAATTGGTATCAATTTAAAGGTCAACCACTCCTCTTGAACATACTATCAACTTCTCGGGTCTAGGTCCTTCATGGGCAAATATATACGCCATAGAATACAAATTTTGTAATTTTTCAGGGTCCATTTGGCCCGCTAAATATTGACCAATCCTTATTAAAACAGACATGCTTAATCTTTGGCCCGATCCCCTTCTCCATGTAAAATTTCGCGATGTTCGGGCCATAATTGCGGCATCTGGAGCGACGAAGAGAAGAGAGAGGAGAGAAAAACGGACAAAAATTAAGTATTTGGTCCATTTCATCCCCTAAATATTAACCGATCTTTACCAAAAACAATAGGGGTCGTCATTGGCCAAAACCCATCCTACATGCAAAATTTCGTGAAGATTGGGTCTAGGACCAATATTTCGCGGTGTTTCAAACTCTTGGGGCTGCACAAAGCTATAATACCCTGACAACATAGTTGTGTAGGGTATAACAATCAAATCTTAAGTCGATTTTGCATTAGTCGGTAAAAGTCGAAAATCGATTTCGAACAGGTTTTGCGCTCGTCTACGTTTTACTAGTCAACAATTTTCGAATATAGTTCCCACAAAAAATCAGAGCTCTCAAAAATTGAATGTTTCGATCTAAATTTTCGATATAATTGTTTACCTCATAAATTATCAGTTCATCTAATCCGATATTTCTTGATCTGGAAAAAACTAGCCAATATATAACCGGATATGATCTGTGTGCATGATCCTCTAAAAACATTTAGAAGTAACATTTGTATTTAAAAAAGAGTGGAGAATTTTCGATATGGTTTTCCATACCACTAATACATTATCGATTCAAATATTGATCCTTCGAACATTTTCTTATTACTATTTTAAAAATGTATCACTGTCCAAATGAAATCACATTAATAGATGCTTTCTGATATATTAGAAAATTGCTGCAAAATAGCTTACTTCAAATGTTGGCCCATCGAGCTAATTAAAAATATCGGGTCATCGAACATGGCTATCGGGTAGATTTTATATTAATCTATTACATTTTCTGTATCATTCCATAGAGTAGATTTTCGATTCTTCCATTAAATTCTCTATATCATTCTGGACACATGGTTTATATATAAAAATTGGCCCTTCGACCAAATCATATTCTAGACATTATTGATATAGGTTTGCTATTCAAATATTGGTCCTTCGATCAGTGGCAATGATTTTTTTATTGCTCACTTGACAATACTGTAAATACGCATTGCTTCTTCGACCAGAACTTGAAAATTATAAATTAAATTTCTTGATAAAAAGAATACAGGAAACTATAAAGAGCAGGATTCAATATGAACAATTTGTTCAAGGTTTGCATTTAACTATTTTACAAAAAGAAGAAGAAGTATAACAATGAAAACATTCTTCCCCACGTTATAGATCCATATGGATTTGGGTATAATTTTATAATCCTTACGAAACTGTTGCTTATGTACACCTCAAAATTTGTTGACCTATCCTTAATAAATTAAAATAACAAATAATATTTTAGGTGTGTCAATACCTAACCAACCCAACAAGGACATGCCACATTCAGAAACATGTTTATTGACATATCAAATGAAATTTAAATATGTTTAACAAATTCCTTAACTTTTTACCTAAAAGCCAACAAAATGCTATGCTTTCTTAGAATGTTTTTTGAATTAGCAAAACTTTTATTTAAAAAGGAAACTAAAACATTAAGGACAAACTAAAGTTTAAAGGTCATGTAATTTTGAGGTAACATGCAATAGTTAGGTGTGGTCCCATACCTGTGGCTGATCTAGAGAATTCAGACAAAAGAAATGACAATGAAGTTTTTTTTTTTTGAAAATATGGAAATTTGTGTCAAAGGATTCCAGTGAATGAATTAAATTAAATAACAAATTGGGTAAGGAAATAGGGAGAGATATTGATATACCACGTAGCGATGAGGTAAAATGTAAAAAATTGCATAAAGGTGGGACCTACTGAGTTTTAATAGGTCTTAATAGATGGGAATAAACTAAGAGAGGGTGCCAATGAGGTGAATATGGGAGGGTTTTCCTAATACAGGACAATTAGCAAGCAAAAAAACGTCGTCCCCTGACTATTCTAATAAATACAAATACATTACAAATAAAGTCAATAGAACCTGGAATAAATTAACGATAATGCATATGAGAAGAAAAATATAAATGAAAATCTTGAAATACAAAAAAAATCTCAAAATTTTGAAAAATAAAAAATAATTCCGAAACGTTTAATGGTTGAGATGTACAGAATGTTATTAGGAAGTCAAAATAAAAATTTCAGAAATTTTTTACAAAAAAAAATATTTTTTTCTATTCTTCAACATCAGGGAATTTCATACAAAAACATTTTTTCTATTCTTTAACTTCAGGGATTTCTTACAAACAAAAAATGATTTTTTTCTATTTTTCAACTTCCAACATAAATTTGTTTTTAATATATAATTATTATTCTACTCACTTCTAAAAATTTTTAACTAAACAATTTCCAACATTTTACACGTTTTTCTCTAAATTCCATAGCCGCTATGCGTCAACAAAAATTCGTTCAAATTCAATTATTCTCTTTTAATAGCTGTTAAGCTGTGTAAAATTAATTACAAATATTTACTCTGGAATGTTTTGTTTTTTTTTCGGAACACTGGCAAATTGTTTGCCAAAAGAGTTGATTGCCAAAAAATTCCTATTCCCTTTTGGAAAAAAAATTAAGAATAAAGTAACATTTGTTTTTCTAAATTATGTTGGACATGAATTTTGGTGCGGTTTCATGACCTGAATTTTAAGTGGTTAAAGTTTAAAATGTCAGTGGTCCACTGAATACGGGGAGAAATTGAAATAGAAATCTTTTCCGTGGGGGAAAATTTAAATAATCAAAGAGATTCGAAAACCTATTTGAAACCGGTAATAATGTCATAAATTTGAAAAATCGACGACTCTAATAATGTCTCCAAAAATTAATTTTTAAAAATCCACGAAAGTAATAATGTCTCAAAAACGTAATTTTGTAAAATCGACGTCTTTAATAATGTCTGAAAAAATGCCTTTAGGAATCTTTCATAAAATTATTTTTAAACAATCCCCGACTTTAGAAATGTTTCAAAAAATATTTTTGAACAATGTTAGGAATGTTTCAAAAAATTATTTTTAAAAATCCACGAGTTTAGGAAAGTTTCTAAAAAATATTTTTAAAAATCCACACCTTTAGTAATGTTTCAAAAAATAATTTTTAAAAATCCCCATCCAAGAATGTTTAAAATATTATTTTTAAAAACCCATGCCTTTAATAAGGTCTAATTTTTTTTAAATCGACGACTTAATTTTGCTTCAAAAAATATTTTTAAAAATCGACATCTTTGATAATATCCCAATATATTTAAACAAAAACCACGCCTTTTTTAAACAGTTTTTTCTGACCATTTTCCATTTTAACCTTCTTTCTATACCGATTCAATTCCATAGAATTTCATTACATGAAATCTCTGACGCAAATACCAACCACCCACAGAGTTACAAAACAAACACCGCAGGCACTGTCTATGATTTACTTTCAACAATGTAATTGACAAACAGCAAAGCTACTACAGAAACTAAATTAAGAAAAAATAGAGAACTTAATCCTTATAACAAACACAACTCAGTTAATTCAGTTAGTAATTAAAAAATTCAGTTCAGTAATTAAGAAATTAATTATTTTTTCTATTTTCTCTCCCCTCTATTGCAGGATGGTCTTCATGTGCCCCATATCACATTAACGTATCATCACAAAGGTCAACGCATTTTAATTGATCTAAAACGAAACGATAATCTACTGCCCGATGAACATTTTTTACGCTATCAAAATTCGAACACAACCCATGGACATGTTGTGCAAAATTTTACCAAGACTGAGGCAGATTTATGTCATTATCAGGTGAGAGAACGAATATACCCGGATATTATTGAGTTGTAAAAGCTAATCAATTTTGGTGTTTTTATTTTTTGTCGTCTTCTTCCTTTTTTCGTTTTAATCCAGGGTAACATACGTGACAAACCCCAATCATATGTGGCCGTATCGACATGCAATGGTGGCATCAATGGTGTCATTTTCGATGGCATTGACACATATTTTATACATTCTGGCAGTGATGGCCAGCTGGAGGATGAGCATTTATTATTTAGGTAAGTTGTGAAGAGGGGAGGAAGTATTTTTTTTCTTTTAAGGGTATAATACATATTGATTTATGTTAGAACCACCTTGAAGGAAATAATAGAGACATTTCTAAATAAAAAGAAATGAAAAAATCTAAATTCAAAATAAGTGCTGGTAGTCCGTAAGTTCAAATAATTTTGGCCCATATTAGGATCTCCCATATCTCTATAAACGGCTTTTAATTTTTAAAAAACCACGCCTTTAATAATGTCCCAGCAAAATATTTTTAAACCCACGCCTTTAATAATGTCCCCAAAAAAATATTTTTAAAAACTAGTCCTTTAATAATGTCCGCAAAAATATTTGTAAAAATCCACGCCTTAAATAAACTCTCAAAAATGTTTTTTATCCACGCCTTTAAAATTGTCTCAAAATTTTTTTTTATTCCAAGCCTATAAATAAATATCGGCATAAATTTTACCCCATCCAAATATTAAATTACTTCAACCACTTCAAATAGCAATAACAAGATATCATAATAATTGCGACCGATATTTAATAACTCTTTCGCACACTCACATAACTCTCAAACACACATACATATATACGAAACCACAAAATTTCACCTGATCCCATTTATGAAAAAAATCTACCGCATATTGATTTATTTTTTTATTACTTTTTTTCTTGTTGTACAAATGATAAATGTGACATTGTGGCCACCCCCTCCTCCTTCACTTGTCAACTACCTTCACACTTTGAAAAACTCGCTTTGTAACAACAACAACAACCACTCCGACAAATATGTAATTGATTTATTATTTATTTAATGATTATTAAATTTTATTACCTATCACACGATGTGACACAAGAAAGCATGCCATAATAGAGACGCAGAGTGAAAATGACAACAACAATAACAACGACAACATTATTATGTATTAAATTTCAAAAAAAGAAAACTCGATTTCCTTCTCAATAACCCCTACCCCTGATATAACTACACTCTTGAAAAGAAAAAAATATTAATTTCTTACGTAGAATTCCGATTTCGAAAATTTCAGCAACAGTTCAAGTGGTTTACCTCCGGGTTCTCTCTGGGTACAACAACAAATTGTTGTTGATTTTCAAGACGCCACTTGGTAAATAGGTGGTAACCGAATCATAGTAATGTTATACTTATTTTGTCTAGTGTTTACATTGTGTTCCGTATTGTGGTTAACTTGCCAGGCAGCCAACCGACCAGCCAGCCAGTAATGTCTGTAGGTTTGTCTGTCCATATCATAGTAGCAAACAACACAACACCACTAAGAACACATAGATAAATATTTACACGGTTTATTCCGGCTAGTTTATTTTGGCATTTGGCAAATAAAAACATTATTTCGCATCAGGGGAATAGTATCAATGGCACGGCACATTACTACCAAAAAATATTTCAAGGGTACACACTTGAGGAGGAAGGGAGAGAAGTTAGTAAAACAGTGTAGAGGAAGGTACTATACCATATAAATAAAATATGTTATATACAGTGGGACCTTTAATAATTATTTAAAAATTCACGCCTTTAATAATGTCCCCAAAATAATAAACCAAGCCTTTAATAATGTCCCTAAAATAATAAACCACGCCTTTAATAATGTCCCCAAAATAATAATCCACGCCTTTAATAATGTCCCCAAAATAATAATCCACGCCTTTGATAATGTCCCCAAAATAATAATCCACGGCTTTAATAATGTCCCCAAAATAATCCACGCCTTTGATAATGTCCCCAAAATAATATTCCACGCCTTTAATAATGTCCCCAAAATAATAATCCACGCCTTTAATAATGTCCCCAAAATAATCCACGCCCTTAACAATGTCCCCAACATAGTAATCCACGCCTTTAAAATGTCCATAAAAATTCTAAAAAAGATTCAGTAGACCCTTGGATCCTCAGATCAGCGATAGTAAAATAAGTGGAAATCGGTTAGATTTTGATACATCTGTAGTGATCGATATTATCTTTCGGGAACCCTATATAACCCTTTAATAATGTCCCAAAAAAATTATTTTTAATAACCCACGCCTTTAAAATGTCCGAAAAAAATTCTAAAAAAAGATTCTGTAGACCCTTGGATCCTCAGATCAGCGATAGTAAAATAAGTGGAAATCGGTTAGATTTTGATGCATCTGTAATGATCGATATTCTCTTTCGGGAACCCTACTTCTGTTTTCAATTTTTAATAAATCCCTTTTTTATTTTCTCTTTCATTCCAGACATTCGGATTTTACCAAAAATGCCACTTGTGGCTACGATCATGATCATCATGATGAAAAAGAAGACTTTTTGCAAAAGGTGGCCGATAACAAGGTGCCACATGTTGCCAATCACATTGATGGTGCAGAATTTAATCGCATACTTAGAGTAAGTACTCAACCCATTTCATAATATGATTCCAGAAATTAATTATTCCTCTTTTCCCCTCCTTATTTCAGTATAAACGTTCATACGATGATGACAGCAATATGATACGCGGACCCTATAATTCCAATAAACATTCCTCATATGTGGAAATTGTTATTGTCGTTGATAATAAGGCCTATAAATCGTTCAATGAAAATATGAAAAAGGTGCATCAACATTGCAAGGATTTGGCCAATATTATGAATGCGGTAAGTATAGAGACTTATATTAGAGATTTTCAAAATTTTGTAAAATAAAAATTCTTTTAGCTCTATGTCCCCCTGAACATTTTCATTGCCTTGGTGGGTGTGGTCATATGGAATGAATCGGATGAAATTGATGTGACTACCGATGCTGATGTAACACTGAGAAATTTCCTGAATTATCGCCGTACCAAATTGGTGTTGGAACATCCCAATGATAGTGCTCAACTGCTGACGAAAGTTAAATTCGATAAGGGTGTTGTGGGTAGGTTCAAAATCATATCTAATTTATTTTAAACTAAAATTAATGAAATTCCATTTCATTTTCCAGGCAAAGCCTTTAAAGGACCCATTTGCACCCATGAATATTCCGGCAGTGTGAATGTTGAGCACAGCCCCATTGTGGGTGTTGTGGCCACCACAATGGCCCATGAATTGGGTCATAATTTTGGTATGGAACATGATTCCAGCGATTGCAAGTGCCAGGATGAAAAATGTATTATGTCGGCCAGTAGTACTTCGGTACTACCCGTTCACTGGAGTTCCTGTAGTATTGATCAATTAAATGTTGCCTTTTCGCGTGGCATGAACTATTGTCTGCGTAATAAACCCACCAAACTATTCGATTCACCACAATGTGGTAATGGTTTTGTTGAGCCCGGAGAACAATGTGATTGTGGCATGCCGGCGTACTGTGAAAATACCTGTTGTGACCCCTATACCTGTATGCTCCACACAAATGCCTCGTGTGCTACGGGAGAATGTTGTGATTTGACTACATGTCGTCCTAAAATGGCCGGTACCCAATGCCGTAATGCTGAAAATGAATGTGATCTGCCGGAATATTGTACGGGAGAGTCGGAATATTGTCCTCAAGATGTTTTTAAACGTGACACGGAAGAATGTGATGGCGGTCAGGCTTATTGTTATCAGGGCAATTGCCGTTCCCACTCGTATCAGTGTCGTGTATTGTGGGGTCCCACAGGAGAGAATTCCGAACCATGTTATGCTCAAATGAATGTTCAGGGAAAACGTGTAGGCAATTGTGGCTATAATCGTTTGAATAATACCTTTATACCCTGCGAGGAGGAACATGCTTTATGTGGTATGCTACATTGTCGCCACTTAAATGAAAGACTGGAATTTGGCATGGAAACGGCAGCGGTGCTTTCACATTCCTTTATTACACACGACAAAGATATTGTACCCTGTCGTACTGCCTTGGTGGATTTGGGTTTACAATCCACAGATCCGGGTCTAACGCCAAATGGTGCTAAATGTGGCCAGGACAAAATGTGTGTTAATCAAAAATGCCTGGCCATTGAACAGCTAAGGTTATCGGGCATGGGTCGGGAATGTCCCGAAGATTGTAATGGCAATGGTATTTGTAATAGCAAAGGGCATTGTCACTGCAATATTGGTTTTACCGGTCCAACATGTAAAATGCCCGGTCCGGGTGGTTCAGTGGACAGTGGGCCAGCCACAAATCCCAACAGTAAGTCCATTTTTCCATTTATGTCTAATTTTTTTATTAATCACTTTTTCTCTTTTATCCAGGTCACCAGGCATTCCAGCGTTTCATGTACATCTTCTTCTTTGCCGTGCTACCCTTTATGGCTGCCTTCTGCTTTTTCATGTACTACTGCCGTCATCATCCGTTCTTTGCCGGCGGCAAATTGGCCGAGAATATGTATGTATCCACATCCAACAAACATGGTTTATCTTTTAGCACTAGTTCCTATACTTCTGTAACACCAACATCCAACAATTGCAAATCTTTAAATTCACCCTCTTCTACACCTTCTCTGACTACTACCTCAACAAGTTCGTTTAAGTTTTCGCCCACCAAAAAGCCTGTGGTGGGTGTTAGTCGTAAAGCACCAACCCCGGTAATGGGACCTGAAGATACACAACTGTTAAATGCATCCTCTGCCACCCCACACATAACACCTACTACTAACAACAACAAGAATAAACTCCACAAACCCAATACAACAATTACAACTAACATAAATTTAAAAACAATAACACCTTGTGCCTCGTATACCAACACCCCAACTGTTGCTAGAAAATTAAAACAATCCACATCGAATGAGAATTTTAGGAAACCAACTAAAAACACAAACAGCCACAACAACAACATCAGCAACACAAAAAACAACACATTACCCAAAAACACCAAAACATCCCAAATGACACAATCAAAAAGTCACAATGAAATAAATGCCACAATTGCCACACTGAAACCGATCAAAGTTCATGAGCAAATTAAAGTTAGCATTAAACCTCCACCACCTGTAGTGGTTCCCAAAATTAAATTGAAAAAATCCAATACCACAATTAGTCAATCGAATTCCTCGACATCGACATCCTCATCATTTTCATATAAATGCCCATCATCGATAAATTCATCTAACACAAATTCGAAAACAATTTCAAATTCCTCCAGTAGTGCTAGTTGTAAAAATCCACCACAACAACATAAAAATAACAACAATAAATTGGCACAAAACCACAACAACATCGCCACAACCAATTCCTCCTCCACCACCTCCACCAATACGAATGGTCATGTGAATACATTACGGCGAAAACTTGAAATAACCGATGTCCGTTTAAATTCGACCACAAATCCTCATGCACTTGTCGATGGCACCACCTACACAGTAACCGATCAAACAAATAGGTGTGTTTATCATTTGTAATGAATGTATATGAATGGCTTTGTGGACCTGGAGTCCTTTTTTTAATTTCGTGTTGTTTTTTGCTTTTTAATTTTTTGTCTGTGAGATAATGATGTGGCAAAGTGTTTGGCCGTTTGTCAATTTCTTTTTTGATTTATTATTTCAAATAATGCAAGACAAGATATTTTTAATGTTTATATTAGGGATTTAAGTTTATTATACTTGCGGAGTATTGTATTATAAATACAATCATAGTTACAGAGTCTTTACGAAGGATTAAAATTCCTTTATGAGTTATGCCATTAAAAATTACCAAAACATATAAAATGTTATGCTATAGAAATTTTCCTTAAAAGATTATTACGAACGCCATTTATTTATAAATGTAATTTACAAAAACTTTAAAAACGTATCAAAAAATTAATTCATAAAAAGTAAATTCTAAATATTTTCCTAAAATACAATATCAATTCCCCTTCACATTTCATATTCCCCTTCATTTTTAATTCATTTTTCAAAAATCCCATTGTTATTATTTCAACAATGAGGTCCACAATTATTGTTATAACCATTTTGTAATAAAATGAGGTTAAGTCAATGTTGTTTCCAAAAACATATTACCATAAAAATTACAAGTGTGAATCTCACTAATTTTATAAAACTACATTACAAAAATGAATTTTCCTAATTAATTTTTGAGATATATTCATCTTAACTTTAATTATTTAACCATAAAATTAGTTTTTATTTTAATTACAATTGAATAGTTAGGTTATGCCCGAAAATAAAATCTACTTAAATCCTAGAATAAAAATAATTTTAATTTCCAAACACCTGTGGATCCTCCAATATAAGATATAAAGTTTCTTCCGATTTAGGTTATGGTGGAATTAATGTAGTAATTAACCAGTGAGCGGAGCAGTATAGTCGGACGGGGCCGACCATATGGTAGCCTACACAACTTCCACGAAAATCTAACTTTCTGCGGCACTACATTCTGAGGTATGGTAATATTTCGCGATATTTGCACCCTCTTGACCGACTAGTGGCCAACCAACAAATATTACTAATATTCAGTAAAGCTCTTCTAAGTATTTGTCCAGATTCCCCTCCCTTGTGTTGTGCTGTTCAGCTTGTGGCCTATAGATCGACTCGAAAAAAACACAAAAAAATTAAGTTTTCGGTTCACCGAAAATTATAGGCATTATCCTTGACCATACCTGGATCCTCATGAAAAATTTCAAAGCGATCAGCGGTATATTACCGACCTCTAATGTGGTAATGGGTTACTAAATAATATCTGAATACGTAAGCACCTGTAAATATTTAAGTGTAACTCCCACATCCGAGTACGCACCACAATATAATTGGTATCAATTTAAAGGACAACCGCTCCTCTCGGATATAATATCAACCTCTCGGGTCTATGTCCTTCAGGAGTAAATATATATGCTGTAGAATAGAAATTTAGTAATTTTTCACACAAAAGTCTGGGTCCATTTGACCCGCTAAATATTTGCCGATCTTTATAAAAACAGGCATGCTTATTCTTTGACCCAATCCCCTTCTCCATGTAAAATTTCACGATGTTCGGGCTATAGTTGCGGCCTCTGGATCGACCAGAAAAACCGACAAAAATTTAGTATTTGGTCCATTTCATCCCCTGAATATTAACCGATCTTTACCAAAAACAATAGGGGTCTTCATTGGCCAGAGCCCATCCTACATGCAAAATTTCGTGAAGATTGGTCCATAACTGTGGCCTGTATCGTGTTTACAAATTATAATGGACAGACGGACGGACGGACGGACACACATGTCTAGATCGACTCAGCTAGTCGAAATATGACGATCGCGGCGTTACAAACTCTTGGGGCTACACAAAGCTATAATACCCTGACAACATAGTTGTGTAGGGTATAAAAAGTAAGGTTATGTACATAACAAATACTTCTAAAATTTCCAAAAATATTAAAAACATGATTTTTTCCTAATTTTAATTTTAAAAGCAGATTAATTTTAAAAGTTCAGATTCAAGATGTGTATTTTAAACCCACTATAAAAAGGGGTGCAGTCTAATTTTTATTTAAATTAATTATTTTTAGCGATATTAATCAAAAGTGACAATTAAAATGGTTAATAAAAGTGAGGTTATGTAGAAAATACATTTAGAAAGTATTTCATTATTGATGTGAGCGATGCATAGATACCTTAATTTTGAATAATTTGGTAGTATCATATCCCTAGGGTATTTCCTATTTATTAAAAAATATTGGTACAATTATTTTATTAAATTGCATATATATATAGGTTCTCAACTTAAACTAAATTAGTGATTGGAAATCTTCTTTGTAAAAACTTTACTCATTCCATCTGACCACCATGTAACGCAATTACCAATAGCTGAAGCCTTTAATTAATCCACCATTCATTACATTAATCCACCATTTATTACATAATTTACAAAAATTAAAGTGTACTTTTTTTAACAGGAATACCATCATAAATTCAGGGTTTTTTCTTAGAATATATAAAACAGGAAATTCAAAAAATCTTGTCTTGCATTATTGTTATAATATGTTTTTGTTTACCGTTGTTGTTGTGTTCAAATGCTTTGAAGCATGCAATAATATTAATTTCCTTTCGCTTTTTTGTGGCAACGAAATAAGGCAAAACAAAAAATATCTTTCCAAAAAACAAGGTTGTTAATGCATCATTTATTACAAGAAAAAATGTGTAACGCAAGAGCAAAAAAACTGTTGTATTGTGATTTGTAATGCATTGTTGAATGTTTATTATTTTATTCGCTATTTATTAATTATTATTTGCTTTTAATTTACTGCACTTATTATTACACATTTTTTATAGATTACAATCTATTGTAGTTTGCAATATGCATGTGTTTTTTTATTTTTTGTAATATATAGCTTAGTATTATTATTTTTTAATATGGTGTAGTACACAAATTATTGCAAATATCATATAATTTATAATTAGGAGTGTATTGGATAAATTAAAAAAATTGTATTCAATTAAATTACATTAGATCAAAAGGAAGAGCACACTAGACAAATATAAATAACGAACATTAAAATTTTTTTTGTAGCATTGTTGAAAAATATAATAAATGAAAAAATATTCTTATAATTTGCTCCGTTCATTGGCATAATTATACAAAGTAGTCTCATGCAGTCATATGTTTCCAATTTTTTCATAAATTTGCCTTTGACATTATTCAGCTTTCAAAATTTTAATGAAAATATCTTCCTTCGAAATGTAAGCACGCATATCATATGTTCAATGGCAGAAGTTGCTAAATAAATTATATTTATAAATATTTTGATGTTCCCTGCCTCTAAAACTTATAAAATATAAGTTATAACAACCATGGTTAAATCTTGAGAGCAAGATTCAATTATTGCAGTATTTGCTTGTATTGAAATTCCTTTTTTGAAAATCGGAATTTGCAATAATTGTTTGTCTGAAAATATTTTTTTGGAAAATAATACTGAAAGTCTTTAATCATTCTGGGTAGTGTGTCCTTTTCATTCTTAAAATCAACAAAAAATATTTCTAGTTAATTAAATTTAATTAAACTTTCTAACGACTGATTTCCTTCAAATTTAGTTTTTATTCATAATACTACGAATTTTATATACAACTATTTCCAAGAATTTATTTAACTAAAAACAAAAAAAACGATTTAAAAACCATTATAAATAAGTGATATATTTTGTATTAAATCTCAAATTAATAATTTTTATAAGCAATACCAAAATCCTATACTTAGAAACATACAATGTTTTAATATTAATATGTGTCAATTATATTATAACAGAACTGCATTAAATAAACAGCAATATTATTATTTTTAATGACTTAAAAATTTTAAATTAATTTTAGTGAAATATATAAAAAATATAAAATATAAACTTAATAAATTTTGTGTTCATATATTTTTTTCTTATTTATTATATTAAAACCTAATTTTAATTAAATTATACTTAAAAAATTATTTTTTTCTTTAGCATAAGTTATTTTAATTATTTTTTTATATTGAAATAAATAAAACATTATTCCCATTTACATTTGCTTGTTCTATCTTAACTACACCTGTACCCACCTATTTTTTCATTTGCTTCCTTTTTTGGTGAAAAACTGCATGCACGCTTTTCCTTAATCTCCTTCCACCCTTATATACTGCACATGTTTCCTTTTGCTTCTTTGTTTTTTATTTTCTGCATTTTCTCACATAGCTTTGGATTGTTATGCTTTATTGTCTGTGTGTGTGTTTCGTCTAGACTCTACGCTGCCTGTATCCGTCCATATCTATGTAGCTCTATCTTGGTGATGGGTATGCATTTTATTATTATTTGTTATGGCTCTCTCTCTCTCTCTTTCTGCATGGGTATGTTATGACTATAAACAAAACAAATATCGTAATAAAAAATACAACTACACAACAATTTTCCAGCCTAAAAAAATATTTTCTTTTCTTTCCGCCAAAAGCTCTGTAATATTTTACGAATTTGTAACTAATCGCTTGAATTTTCTTTATTTTTCCTTTCACAAATTTTAGTATCAAATCAGCTAGCGGTGCTAAACAACCACCACGTCCACATGGCAACAATGGTGTTGGCAATCAAATGAATGCCAACGGGTTACCAAAATCAACGCCCAGCAGTACGGATGATATGAACTCGGCGCTATTGAAGTCTCCAAGCGATTCGAATGACATGGGTAATGGTTTGTATGGAAAATTCAAAGGATTCACGCTGAGACCTTTAAATGATGCCACTTCGCCAACGAACAATTTCACTGGACCCAATGTGGCCTATGTTCAACCTACCTTGCAAGATAATTCCATACAAATACCCCAAAGGGCAGCACCACCACCACCCATTAAGCCAAGTGAGGTGAAGATGAATGGTACACTAACGCGAAAGGCTCCTCCACCACCAACAACATGTAATGGTATTGCTGCCCCCGCTTTGCCACCACCAAATCCTGGCTCCACAGCACGCCCCATCATTTCCATGCCAGTATTAGAAACCTCCACAATGGCATTGCCATTGAAACCCTCTCACGGCAGTACTTCCGAATTGGCACCAGCACGTCCAGCCCCCTTGGCTCCAGGAGGGGAAATTCTCAAACCAGCACCACCACCACCTGTACCCTTACACAGCGACCCCAAACTCAATGTCAGGAAAGATGGTACCATACGTCGGATCACCTCATTTTTGAAAAAGGATGAAAAATCAGCACCCTTAAAGGAAAAAACCTATATTGATCGGGAAAAATTGAAAAATCTTGAAATTTCGGCACCCATACCCTTGGCGCCAGCCGGAGAATCATCCAACTCGGACTCCGAATTAACACCCAAAGAAGAGGAAACCAAGAATTTGGTAAAGCGGGCCCAGTCAATGCGTTCGCCTACAAAGAAAACCAATATACAAAGTTTTGGTTCAATGCGCCAGACCTCAGCGCCCGGTTCGGCCAGACCTCGCAGTGCTGCCTCGTCACAAACTTTAAATGGTGGGCAAAGACCTAAAAGTCCACCACCCAGACCACCACCGTTGAAGAAAACCAATTCCACAACATCATCGGGTTATCAATTGCCAATTGCTGTGCCTCGTGGCCCCGAGCATATGTACGATGATTGTGAATTTTCGGAAGTTTCCTTGGCCAGTGTGGAGGAACAAGATTCCCCCTTGCATAGAGCCTCGGAAAATGGTGATAATATCTATTCGGTTATAGATGAAATTCCCCCAGCTGCCCAGACAATGAAACGTATCGATTTGGTTGGCAACAGCCAACGTAGCAGTGTGGCCAGCAGTAATGATTTGGGTTTATTGGGTGAAATTGTAACGGAAATGGAAAAACGAACAGGAGGGGAATCTATATATTCGGCAGCGGCCTCTACCTTGGTGAAGGGGAAAAACAAAGAGGAAGCGTCCAATTCGAAGAACAAGGTGGAAGACAAGAAAGCTACAACCCCAGCCGGTAATAATAAGGAATCGGGAAATCTCAGCAGTAAGCCACCCACAAATCCAGCTTCCTATTTAAGGCCAGCTCCAGTAAATGCACCCATTGCCCGAGTGGCACCCACTCGCTCAGATTTATCACCAACAACAGCATTTTCTAGTTTTAAACCAAACACAAATACAGCGGCAGGAGCGACAACCGCAAATGCTGCCACACGTTTTAATGGCAAAACGAACCACAACAACAATAACAATAATACAACAACTGCAAATCGAGCTAACAGCTTTACAAAGCCCACACAAAAATCACTGCCGCCCACCAATACCACAACAAGAACAACAAATCAACAAAGTTCCACAACAACTAAGCCAGCTAGTGCGACAATACAAAAACCCAAACCCCTCTCAGCCAAGCCTTCATTTTCTTCAAGTACCGGCAAAAAGCCAGTACTAGGCTCAGCAACGGCATCAACAGCCAAGGTGACACCACGGCCGCCCACAGCACCCACAGGGAAGAATAATTCAACAGTGGCCTCATTAACGCAACGTTTTGAGAAGCCAGTGGCCAATGGTAGCACAACAGCAACGACTACAACGTCCTTAAGGAAATAGTTTATATATAGTCTTTAAGTTAGATTCTCTTTATTGCCGAATGGTATTCTTTAAAATAAATCTATATATGATTTTTATGTTTTTCGTCGTTAACTATGTAAGAAAAGAAAAAAAAAAACAAAAAATAAAAACAACAACGCACTGATTTCTATAACGAAAAACCAAAACCGACACCCATATAGTTATATAAAAACAAAAACCAAGAACAAATGCTTATGAACACAATACAATAGCTATATTGAAAAAAATGTATTGATGTAAATTCAAAATCCCAAGGTTTGATTTGGATCCCCTCTCCCATTTCATTGGGATATTTATTTGAAATGAAATTGAATTTCCCTTTGATTCGAAATTCATTAACAAAATCTACAACAAAAGTGATATTCATTCCTTTTTTAGATATGTATAAAATAATAAAAAAAAAACTAATTAAAATTAAAAATAATTTTAAAAAAGCTTAAGGAACAAATAACTAAAAAAAACAAATTGAAAAAGCGTCGAACGAAATTTTCTCAATTATTTCATTTGTGAAATTATATTTTTTTTTAGTTTTTATTTTAGTTTTTTCTTGTAAAACAATTGTTTATAAAACCATTTTTATGTTGAGACTTTTTTATTTGAAAATAATATGTTACTACTTTCATATATACATAAGTATTTTATAATTGTAAATTTTGATTTGTAATTTCGTCGTCCATTTTCTATCTCCTTCTCAAATTTGTAAATTAAAAACAATTAATTTAATTTAGTTTATAAGTCATCCTAGTATTTTGTGTTTTATAGCAATTTATAATTTTTTTTATTTAAAAAAATCTACAACAACAACATTGCTTTACATTTTCAACTAAGTTCATTTCATATCGAACCGCTGTATATATTAATTTCTCTTTTTGTAATAATTGTAATATTATTATTATTTTTAATTTTTATTAAATTATTAAAAAACCAAATAATTTCAGAAAAAAATATATATTTTTGTGTTTGTTTTAATTTTAGTATTTATGAACAAAATAATTTAAATCATTTACAAGAAGATCCAACGGTCTACCTTTTGGACTTCTATAAGAGGTCTTATTAGTCTTCTATTATACGTTTTAGAATTCTATGAGAAAACATATTGGACTTGTTGAGATGTATGTATATTTTTGTCCTTATGGGAAGTTTAATAAGAGTCCTTGTTGCGCTTGAAAGTATGCTTTATTATTAAAATTATTAAAATTTTGGTTTATTAAATAATTGATAAATTTTCAAAATAATTTTGCATTAATTTATTAAATTTTGTTTTCAAAATCTTGTTACAGCAATTTTCCTAACCTCAATAAATACAAATCAAATCAATCAATCAATTTTCCTAACAAAACCATTTTATGGTTTAATGGGATTCCATTCAATATTTTCTGAAAATCGGTAAGATCACGGCAATACTGGCAATGACATGCGGATAGCGCCACCTATTGAATGACATGCTTAAAATCGCACCGCTAGGGCTGAAAAGTCTTGGACTCGGGCATTTTCCGCATGTCTTTAACAAAAAATAAAACTGCCTTTTGTTGGAATTCATAGTTATTTTCTACAAGAATAATAACGATTTATAATCAGGATAATAAGGGAAGTGCAGAAATGTCAAGTTTTCGATGATCAGATGATATTTAGGGATTGAAATATACCAAAAACTTAATTTTTGTGTTTTTTTTAATTCGGGTTTATAGGCCACAATAATAAGCCGTACATCACAACGCAGTACATGGAATGTGGTCAATTAATTATAATGGCTGTTTTGATCGGTCAATATTCAGCGAGTCAAATCAACCAAGACCTTTCTGTGTAAAATGAATAAATTTGCATTTTATGCAATGTTCACCCCGGGAAAAAATATTCCGAAAATATGCCAGGGTAAGAAAGAGTAGCTGTTGATCTCCAAGAAGGTGCACATATCACGAAATATTGACAAGGCACCGAATATAGATCCGCAGAAAGTTAGTTTGTCCGTTGTAGTTATGTAGGGTGTGGTCTATAAAGCAAATTAAGATGATATTATGCATATGGAAAATTCTAAAACTGTCATTATTATTAAAATTTTGGTTTATTAAATAATTGATAAATTTTCAAAATAATTTTGCATTAATTTATTAAATTTTGTTTTCGAAATATTGTTACAGCAATTTTCCTAACAAAACCATTTTATGCTTTAATGGGATTCCATTCAATATTTTCTGAAAATCGGTAAGATCATTCTTACATCATTTATCAGTTGCGATTTTGGTCAATTATATCTCAACAAAGACCGTTACGAAAATGCGAAGGTCTACATCAGCATCGGGAGTATCATATGAATTTGCGGTCTCGATATGTGTGCGTCAATGGTTTTTCCGTTGTTTCAATTGAATGTGTGTGAGATATGGTCATATTTACTGTCGGGAGAGAGCACGCTTGCGGGGGTTTGCCTGATACGGGTCTATATTCAATTCGACATTTAAGACATGAGAGGGCAGAATGGCTATCGGTTTTCTGCAAATGTAACTATAGAAGAAGACTTGTTCTTTTAAAGGTATTATATGGGATGACCATTAACCTTCCATAACTGAGATTAGTACTGAATGGTTTTCCATGATTTTGCCAGTAGTCTTCTACAAGTCTTTCCAATAAGAGGTGTTATTTTGGTATATAAATAATTTTTTTTTTTAATGTAAACGATCACATGTTTATGAAAATTTTAAATTCAACAATTCTTCCACAATAAATTAAAATATATCAAGCAATTGGCCACATATCCTTTTCATGAAATCGTATGTGTCTCTCCCATGTTCTCAATAGCCTCAATATAAATCACAAGATGTCGGTGAGTACTAGCGATCACATCGAGAGATGAAGCGGTTGGAAAACTTTTAGTAACTAGAGCAATGGTTTCGTAGCTTGTGTGGTCCAGATCAATAACATCCAACTCCAACAACAATATATAATAAGTAATTATCTCTTCATAGTGCAATCCATTCACCGAAACTTTTTATTCAACCTCATTTTTTGAGTAAGCTAAGATTCAATGATACCGGCGTACCATAAGCAGCACCAGCCAGTTGTTGGGGATGAAAGAGACTTCGTCACAATAACTCTTGAGTCCCAAATGCGACCATTTTTCATGTTCTTAAAGAAACAGAGGTAGAAATGGGCCTCCATTATTTGTACGACGTTGTTGATGGCCGTCCGACTTGAGTTTTAGCTTTAAAAACATTAAGAACATTAGAGCTCAAGTCTTTATGTAGAATTCGGTGTAATGCCGTTTGTTGTATTCGTACAATGAGACATTGACAAACCTAGATTTTGCAGATGGTTTTTGAGCCCCATATGTTACAATTTTGATGACGGTTCAAATTGAGTTCTTGCGTTAAAAACAAGAACGGTCCTAATCATGTATTCGTTGTAATATACAGAACGATGAGAAATTGACAAGCCTATGTTCTTGAGCGACGTGTTCAGATTAAATTCTTCACGTCACTTGTACCAATTTCTGTATCTAACAAGGTGTTTTATGATTTTCAACATTTTTTGTAAAGAAATTCAATAATAATTTCAATGCATTTCCATTTTCAATTTATTTCATAAACGAGAATCTAGCCCAAAGGAAACAGCATAATAAAAAAAAACACTTTTTGTTGGAAAAATCTTCACTGGTCCTTTTAGGCTCCTAAGGCAAAAACCTATTGACCTACATTGGGATAACATTTCGCTTTTCTTTAATAAAAGATATAGGACTTTGTTGTTAATTCAGTAAAAGTTTATTGCAGACTAATTTGTTACAATGAAAATTATGTATAACAAAACGAAAATATGTATGCATCGAAAATGACAATTCAAGAAAAGCTAACATGTATCAAGGCTACCATGATTGAAAATTAAAATACTACTTATAAGACAAAGTACTTCGTTTATTTCAACACCTCCCCTCGAAGTGCGCCGTCTTATATTCCTCCAGTTACTCCAAGTTCGTGTATGCATTTTCGATGCTTTGTTGATGACAACCCTTTTGTAAGTACATCTGCTGCCATATCTTCTGTTCTCTTATATTCCAATTTGACATGTCCTTCATTTTGCTTTTGATGTATAAATTGATATCGGACATCGATGTGTTTTGTTCGCGAGTGGTATCCAATGCTTTGAATTAACTTTTGAGCACTCTGACTATCGTTGGAAATTTGAACTGGTATTGTTGCTACTCTGATTTCTTTTAAAATACGTTGAAGATATAGTGCTTCTTTTACAGCATCTGTTATAGCCAATAGTTCAGCTTCCGTACTCGATAAAGCCACTGTCCTTTGTTTTCGAGCTTCCCAGGTAATTGCTCCTGCTGACATAATGAACGCAAATCCTGAATAAGAGCGTCTATCGGATAAATTCGATCCCCAGTCCGCATCTACGACTCCATACAATGGTAAATCACTTTTCGTGTATTTTAGTCCTTCATCAATTGTTCCTTTCAGATATCGTAATATTCGCTTTGCAGCTTGCCAATGTTCAGTTCCATAGTTCGAGTTAAATTGACTTAAAAAATTCACAGAATATGCAATATCTGGCCTTGTATTCACCGCCAAATACATAAGTGCTCCAATTAAATTTTGATAGGGGATTTTTTGCATTATCTCTAAATTAGGTTGTGAAGGCTTTTCTAATTTACATTGCGGTTCCAAAGGTGTATTTGCCGATTTACAATTTTCCATACCAAATCGTTTCAGAATTGATTCTATATATTCCCGTTGCTTCATTGTAATTTCGCCCCTTTTCAAATCTTGATTAAATTCAATTCCTATATATTTATTGACTTTTCCCAGATCTTTCATTTCAAATGTTTCTGCCAACGATTTCTTTATATAGTTTGTCATCTCCTTGTCATTTGATGCTATCAGCAGGTCATCCACATATACAGTAACTAATGTTAATTGTTTCCCATTTCTGCTGATAAACAAACATGGATCTACCTCAGAAGGAACTAATCCTAATTCTTCCAA